AACCCAACTTTGGCACTGGAAATTCCCCCCAAGAGGATTTCCAGGGCCCAGTTTTTGGGGAGGCTCTCCCAGTGACTGCCCCAGTTCCACACATGGGGACTGCCCGCCCCAGAGGGTTTTACAGGAGCAAAAATCCCCTTGTTCAACTCCAGATGGGTTTGCTGGACTGTGAGAATGAGCTTGAAGTGTCACCAGCTACAGCTGGAGCTTTGAGAGTCAGAGCTCTTTGTGTCTTGCTTCATTTGCCTCCCTCTTGGGCTTTATCCAGCAAGGAAAAAGCTGCCTGGAGGGGTTTTGAGAGCAGGATTTGGCTGAGGCTCCACAGGGTCGTTGGTCTCCAGGCTGACCAGGTGCCCTGTGTTTAGTTCCCCTTCATTTGCACAACTCTGAAWGACTTTAAACTCCTGATGCACCTGCCAGCTTGAAGCAAAATCAGTCTGGAAAATGCTGTCAGAATTTATTTGGCTTTTCCCAGGGAGACAGTCAAGAGAAAACGCTATTTTCTCCATATTCTAAGCATTCTTGCAACAATTTGCTGTGGGAAAACAACTTGAAATTTGGCAAAATATGCTTTTTTTTTTTTATTTTCCCCTTCACTGATACTGTAATTTTTCTGGCAGAACTTTCCTGAATTCGGGTAAACCTGTCAGGGCTCACAATTCCCATGTGCACAGGGGCTTGTCACCATGTTGAAAGGTAACTTGTGCTTCATCTCAGGTGCCACTTTTGAAATATATTAAGCGTTGTTCAGGAAAATCTGCGGATCCAGAGTGATATTTTCTAAAGAAAACTTCCTGCAAACAATMATTTCTCAGTTTTCAGAGCAGAGCTTGAACAGCATCCAGCAAATCAAGCTGCAGTCCAAGTGTGAAACAGGCTCAGATAAAATCAAACATAGAGCAGTCGTTCACGAATCCTGCACTGGATTAAGGGAATCCTCCTCCCACCCCTCCTGGCATTTTTGGAGTTAGGTGATGAAATTTATATCCTAGGAATGCATCAGCTCGTGCTGAAATCTGCTTTTTTATATTCCTCATTTTTCACTGGAAGTGGTTTTATTTTTCGACCTGGCATGGAAATGTGATGAATAATTAGTGCCTTCATGTGAGAACCAGCCCTGGTTTTTCCCCTAAGGGCCCAGGACTTGAAGAAGGGCCAGTAATGTKAATAATGCTAAAATCCATTGTTCTTATCCATGTTTCAAAGGCATTGCTGGGATAGATAACTAAAAATAAGGACTTAGTCCTTCCAGGTGTCTCCTGGTTGGGGAGAAATACAAGGGAGGAATGTCCCTGGCTCAGTCCTGGTCTTAAAGGCTTTACTGTACAACAGAAAAAACTCTGTTGTTGTATAGAAATGCACCTGGTGTTCTCAGATATCCTCTCGGATATCCTTGTATCTTTAAAATTAAGATTTGTTTGGATTTGGAAGGTCATGGAAGATTTTGGCTGGAAGCAGCAAGTGCCTCCCCCACCCCGTGCTGGGAGGAAAAAGGGAGAGCTGATAATACACTGCAAAAATTTAGTCTATTACACAAATTACACGCAGGCTGGCAGGTTCCTCAGGTCAGATTAATCTGTTGTCTTCTGTGCTGGGAAAGAGAAAACGACCATTTAATTATTGTCAGAAAAAAAACATTCCTCCTGATTGAGGGAGTCACATGAGCGCAATTTACTTTATCCTTCCATCCATTTGAGGGATGTGAATGCAGTTCAGCCAGAGATGTTATTAAAATTTAATTGGGTGGACTCAGAGTGACAAAACCCCCAATGTCCCCATCCAGACAAACCCTCTGCGCTTTGCCGGTGGTGTTGTAGGGGATGAAATTTGCTTTGTTCAGACGTGTTTCAGTCCCCTGTATTATTACTTTTCTGTGGTTAACATGATCCAGATTTAACTCATCGTCCTGGGGAGGTTATTCAGGAATTTACCAGAGCACAGGCCCTGGCACAGTTTCCCCATCCCTGGAAGTGTCCAAGG